CTAAAGTCATAGTTAAAGTCAGGATCCAGTAGGTCCTCGTCTAACACTAGGACTGTTGGTCAGCTGCTGCCCTTAGTTTAACTGCAAATTGAATGATGGACCCATTTTTAATGCTGTAATCTTTTAAAAGGCGATCATCATCATTGAGCTCCTTCCTTCCAAAGGTGAGTACAATGTTATTAACATCATACTGTGAGTACTCATCAAACCCTTTACTCTTAAAGATGGACCACTTCAGTGCATACACTGTAGCCCTGTGATCCACTGAAAACTTATAGAACTGACCATTGAGGAACTGAACTGTGATGACCATATTTGAACTGGTCCCTCCACCAGAGGTTGGTTCATCACTAGTGTCATGAGCTAGTGGTTGTAGTTCAATGTCCATTGTCTTCTCCAGTGGTACTACTATTGTAGGATCAGGCTCTGGTCTGGTTTCAACGATCACATTCTGGCTCATCACCTGGTATGTTAGTGGCTTTGGATCCTTTAGTGTCTTGTACAGTGGATCATCTTTAGTAATGACTTTACTCCCTGGTATTAGACTGGTTAATGCAGCTGCTACTAACTGTAGGTGAGCACTGGAAGAAGAAGAAGGAGCTACTGCCATTTGGAATGATACCTTGTCTTCAGTGCTGTATAGAGAAGGACTGCTTTTGATATAGAGCTAGTCTCAAGGTAGAGGTGGGATATGTGCAGTGGGTGGGATAAAACACTATCTTACTCTATACTATCTTAATCTATATTATCTTAATACTACTATCTTAGAGGGATGGGATGGATTATAATGGGTGAGGGGTGGAACCACACTTACATGTAGTATGGTAGAGCTTAATTAGCTCATTTAGTTTACATAATAAACCTGAACATGAACATTTATTCAGTTGATTAATTGCATCATCCTTTGAATTAAATTGCTTATAGTGAGTGCCAATAGTCCCACATATACCGAATGCATTTTAAAATTACATCATCTAGCGGCTAGTCCTGCTGTAAGCTCTACTCATTCATTCAGTATAATGTACTACAAGACTAACAACAAAACAAAAGCCACTCCAAAGCTGAATATTTCTAGAATTATTAACTCAATAAAAACATAATTATTTGTTACTAATAAACATGACAATTCTAAATATAATTATTATTGAATAATATAAACTGATATGAAATGGGACATCGCTCAAAAATACCCATATTCTATAGAACCCTTCACAATACTAGTCTATGCTAGCAAACTATTAGAATCGGATAAGCCACTGACACACTATGGTATTACCAAGTGATCAGTGTTAACTGCTGTATATCGTGTAGTCTCACAGGTACGGAGGGCGTGGTCTGGCACCGCAAGATTTTATATTGTGTATATGGTGGAGGGACTCCATTTCTCTTTATAAGTGATGAGTTATTAAAGCCAGCATTTGATGATGACTTCACTCACATCACTGATGATGGGAAGGTATTCAAAAGAGGAGGGTATCCTTACAGGCGACCGTACGGTTGGAACAGGGTAGCGTTAAAAGTAAAGGGACAGTATGAGAATGACATCTGGCTGGGAGCTCCTCATCATCGCACTGAATATAACTTATAACTTTCTATCATTCTTTTATCATGTTTCTACTAGCATTTTATATAAAGCAAAAAAAACAAAAAGAATTGTTGTAATTTTAATAAACTACCTAATAAATCCTAGTAATGTTCAATGATGCTGTTCATTAATTATTCAAAAGTTAAGTACTAATAGCTTTAACTTCCCTGATACATATCCCGTATGGTCTTAGGTCATCAGAAGAATATGTCAGATAATACTCTGCTCCATGTCGTGTCTTCTCCACTGGAATTATCTCAGAGTGTCCAGGGTTGAGATTAACTCTGTTCTGAATGATAGCCTCGTACCTCTTACCATCAGTATGGTCAAATCGTCGAGCGAAATCAGCAGCAATTTCAACACTCGGTGTTGAGTAAAACCCTCTTCCAAAGTTCTCCCGGGCTAATTTATCCTCACCATATCCTTTAGCTGCTATAGTCATTGTTCCTTCTTTTGTTGTTCCATTATAAGAGACTGGCCATTCACCTTTTGAACTTTCAGTTCGCTCAGACCCAGCTACCAGTGTACCCAGCCAGGTATCGTCTGGTGGATACTTGCCCTTTACTTTGAGAGCTAACCTTTTCCAACCATAAGGACGCTTGTAGGGGTAATAAAACCCTTGACTTTGACCTCGGTGGTAAACTCTTCCTGTGTCACATTCGTTTGTGAAGTCATGATCAAATTCAGGGTCTAGTAAATCCTCATCGAACACTATTATGGTTGGTCCACCTGCCCCTCTTAGTTTAACTGCAAATTGTACAGTTGAGCCATTTTTAATTCCACAGTCTGTCAATAGACGATCATCATTATTGAGCTCCTTCCTTCCAAAGGTGAGTACAATGTTATTAACATCATACTGTGAGTACTCATCAAACCCTTTACTCTTAAAGATGGACCACTTCAGTCCATACACTGTAGCCCTGGGATCCACTGAAAACTTGTGAGATTGGCCATTGAGGAACTGAACAGTGATGGTGATGAAGTTTTTCTCTGCAGTCGCTGTGGAACTGGCTTCATTGATTGGTGTAACTAGTCCAGGATCAGGCTCTGGTCTGGTTTCAACGATCACATTCTGGCTCATCACCTGGTATGTTAGTGGCTTTGGGTCCTTGAGTGTCTTGTACAGTGGATCATCTTTAGTAATGACTTT